CTATATACCTTGTGCACACACGTTTACCCTTGTAATACTGTATACCCTGTATACCCCTATATACCTTGTGCACCCACGTTTACCCTAGTAATACTGTATACCCTGCATACCCCTATATACCTTGTGTACCCATGTTTACCCTAATAGTACTGTATACCCTGTATACCCCTATATACGTTGTGTACCCATGTTTACCCTAGTAATACTGTATACCCTGTATACCCCTATATATCTTGTGTACCCATGTTTACCCTAGTAGTACTGTATACCCTGCATACCCCTATATACCTTGTGCACCCATGTTTACCCTAAAAGTACTGTATACCCTGTATACCCCTATATACCTTGTGCACCCATGTTTACCCTAGTAATACTGTATACCCTGTATATCCTTATATATCTTGTGTACCCATGTTTACTCTAGTAGTACTGTATACCCTGCATACCCCTATATACCTTGTGCACCCATGTTTACCCTAGTAGTACTTTATACCCTGTATACCCCTATATATCTTGTGTACCCATGTTTACCCTAAAAATACTGTATACCCTGTATACCCCTATATATCCTGTGTACCCATGTTTACCCTAGTAATACTGTACACCCTGTATACCCATATATACCTTGTGCACCCATGTTTACCCTAATAGTACTGTATACCCTGGATACCCCTATATATATTGTGTACCCATGTTTACCCTAGTAATACTGTATACCTTGTATACCCTTGTATATCCTTTTTACCTGTGTTTATCCTTGTCATACTGTATACCCTGTATACCCTTACATATCTTGTGTACCCATGTTTACCTTGGCCATACTGTATACCATGTATACCTCTATATCTCCTGTGTACCCATGTTTACCCTAGTAATACTGTATACCCTGCATACCCCTATATACCTTGTGCACCCATGTTTACCCTAAAAATACTGTATACCCCTATATACCTTGTGCACCCACGTTTACCCTAGTAATACTGTATACCCTGTATACCCCTATATACCTTGTGCACCCACGTTTACCCTTGTAATACTGTATACCCTGCATACCCCTATATACCTTGTGCACCCATGTTTACCCTAATAGTACTGTATACCCTGTATACCCCTATATACCTTGTGTACCCATGTTTACCCTAGTAATACTGTATACCCTGTATACCCCTATATATCTTGTGTACCCATGTTTACCCTAATAGTACTGTATACCCTGTATACCGGTACCCCTATATACCTTGTGCACCCACGTTTACCCTAGTAATACTGTATACCCTGCATACCCCTATATACCTTGTGCACCCATGTTTACCCTAATAGTACTGTATACCCTGTATACCCCTATATACCTTGTGTACTCATGTTTACTTTTGACTAGTAGTACTGTATACCCTGCATACCCCTATATACCTTGTGCACCCATGTTTACCCTAATATTACTGTATACCCTCTATACCCCTATATATCTTGTGTACCCATGTTTTCCCTAAAAATACTGCATACCCTGTACACCCCTGTGTACCCATGAATACCCTAGTAATACTGTATACCTTGTATACCCCTATATATCCTGTGTGCCCATGTTTACGC